CGGCAAGGGGTTGGCTTCCAGAGGCACGTGATGAGTAACTGTGGATGAATGTAGTAAGGAAGTGTGGTGATGGCTGCTGCTACAGTGGTGTATGTGAGACAACATTTGTATCATGTTCCTAAGATGAGGATGAAGCCAGTTGTCCTCGAGACTAGACGTTTGTATTCCTTCATAGTTCACATGGGGTTTCAGTATGAAAAGATATTATAGACGTTGCATGGCACAGGAACACAAGGTATGGCTTCTGTCGATCGACAGAGTCTTTCCTGAGTGAATAGTTCTGGGTTTTGGCAGTGGTCAATCGATTTTCATTCACCGATCCATGTTTTAACATGATGTAAGACTCTGCCTTTATGGGAACTGTTGTGTGTGTGTGTGTGTGTGTGTGTGTGTGTGCACTCGTGTGTGTGTGCATGTGTGCATGTGTGTGCTTGTGTGTGTGTGCATGTGTGTGCGTGTGTGCGTGTGTGTGTGTGTGAGTGTGTTGTGTGCATAGGTCTGTGTGTGTGTGGTGTGTCTGGTTATTGAAATGGGGCTTCTGGGAGCGAGGTCGAGGTTTCATTAGTATGTTTTACTCGATTATGAAGGTTCTGCCAAGGTGTCTTCTTCGATACTTTAACAGAGGGACCAATTGGAAGATATTTTGGTATTAATGCGCAGAGAATTTTTTGTGTTGTGAAAGAAGCAGGGTTTTTTGTTTCGTTGCCCTAGAGACTAATGTTTGATTCTTATTCTCCTTTACTAATGTAGTAAGGGCGAGGTGCCTGCGTGCACCAAGATCATGTACTTACTGTTTATGTCAACCTTGTCAGTTTAGAATGTTCTATGTTATAGGAGACGGCATTGAACGTTGCCCTATTAAGTGCTCATCTCTGATTGGAGGTTAATGAGGTAGGAATATATATACACATACGGATTAAGAGGATATTTTTCAAACTGTTCATACTGTGTTCCTTGTGTGTGGTGAGAGGAGGCATATATCATAGAATGTTTTTTTCTTATAACTTATCATTTATTCTAGTGTATGCAATATTGCATAAGATGTGTTTGTTAGGGTATGTTAGGGTATATTTGGTGCGGGGGTGCTATTAGTCTCATTGAAAAATTTTATTGGGATTTTAGTTTTCGAATGTCTATGTACATAAAATGTTACTATACAACACAATTGTGAGTAAAAGGCATTAGTGTATAATTAATGTTTAGTATATAAAGTTTTTATACAAGATATGAATAAGAGAACCAGTTTTGTGTTGTTGCTATTTTTTGGATGAGGGATGTTCAGGTGTAGGTTGTCCTCTGTTTAGTTCTAGGTTTTCTTATATTGTTGCTTACTTTTTCTTGTTAGGTCATTATGTATCACAACACGTATAATGTATACTCTGTTTCTAAATAAAAATATAAAAAAAATAAAAATACCCACATGTTGTGCATGTGTCAGATTCTTCAAGTCAGTGCTTACAATCTGTTGGAACCCAAAACCTATGCTGAGGCAGTAAAAGATGAGTTTTAGAAGATAATTATTTGCTGTCATTAAATACTTTAAAATTTTGGATCACAGAGAATTTAAATGAGACAGATTTGACAAGTTATGTTAGTAAAGTCTAGACCATGTTAGAAACAAGGGCAATAACAGGAAAGAAATTTCCTGCGAGGCTCCACCTGTGGAAAGCCTTCCTTAAAAACAGGAATATCTAAACACTGTCTTGCACCTTAACTCATCTTCTGTAAACAAGACTTGGGGAAAAGATGATAGGCCTCTCTGTTAGGAGGGTTCCATGGAGATATGATAGTTGGAGATAAACACATGTTGGGTTGTATATACTTATATTAGCAAAGTTGTGAGGGGAGCCCAGCCTAGCCTGTTGTAGCCTGTAGGTCTATCCATGAACTGAGAGAGGGACAGGGTGACTCCCGCCCACAAGCAGCAATGTGTGATGCCACATGTTAGCCACGAAGTCTATCAAGGGGTTGTCTATATAATACATATGGATGGTACTAACTGTGATACTCAGCTATGGTAAACAACATATACAGGGGATCAGCAACTATGCTGACAGCTCAGCAGGTGGCTCTGGGCTGTTTCTCTACAATAGCAAAGATATATGTAACTTAGAAACAATCAAAGAAATGGTTATGGGATATACTCAGTTGAACAGATAACATTGGAATGGATATTATATTAATGGATAGTGATTTACCTAATGCATTATGAATTAAAGGGAAAAATCATAGTATAATGTAAGATAGAATTGATCGATCGATCTGTTTTCATGCACTCTACGGATTCTGAGGAAGAATATATATTTACAAAGGGGAATTTAATTAACAGCAAAGGCAGACCTGGTGCGCACAGGTCATTACTGCTAAATCTCAGAATTCGGAGGGAATGTGAACACAAAAATAATTGTTATTTTTGAAAACTGATCAGCTAGTAACAAAACACACAGTTGACAACTTCATTCAACTTGATTATCTAATTATACAGGCTATGTACATTTAAACCCAACTCTGTGAGGGTAAGATTTACATATGCAGAATGGTTATCATTTCTGGGAGGATCAAAGTCTTTTGCAATTGCGAACACATGCCTTGATTGAGGGAGATCTGAATGAGTATCTACAAAAGATACTTGGGGGTTTCTCATTACTTGTCATGCATGCAGGGAATAATGACATACAGGTTGATCATCTGACTGAGTGTTAGAGGTAGAGGGTACAGAGTCAGGAGGATTATCAGCATCTCTCACATTAGTCTGGGTAGAAATATCATCATCAACATGGCATACTAACTTAATATGATCCAAATGCGATTCCTTATACTATCCAGTACTAATTTCTCTATCTTTATACTTATTTGCCATTGATATGTTCAACTACTCGATAAGAATCAACAAACTTTTGATCGAGCTTAGGCATTGCGGATGTTTCGTTGAAGTTAGTCAGCATTACTCTCGAACCCACTTTAACCTTGATTGGCTTAGTACGGCTATTACTCTTGTAAATTCTGCTGCTGACTTATGAAACGCTTCTTGGACTCTTCTGAAAACACTTTGATCTAGACTGGTATGAGTGGCTATGAAATCATCAGGGTTGTAATTGGGTTTCGGTGCAGAATATAACAACTCATGAGGCAAACGCTTGTCTACACCATACAATGCATAATGTGGAGTGTCACCTATCGAAGCATTGTAAGCAGAATTTAGAGCACACTGAACATCAGTATGACTTCATACCAAGTTTCACTATTGGGATTGATAGTGGCTCTCAAGACATCAAGAACTTACTTACTGGTTCATTTGGCCAAACCATTACTTGCAGGATGATGGAGAACAATGGTTGACTTAGAGATCTTGTAACGATGAGCACAGCAGGGTGGGAAGCTGGCTTAGCAGGCAAGGTTAGGTCTGGAGCAGGTTGGGTGGCTTAGAGTTTGTCTCTCCCCAAAGACTGGCTTGCCTTAATTTGCAAACCCACATCAACCCCTTGGAAGTAAATCATAAAAGCAGAGAAAGCACGAAGACTAACCAGGAAGCAGTGCAGAGTGGCTGGTGAGTGCTTGCTCGGGGTAGCTTGGCTAGCTAGGCCGCCATGCCGAAAACACACGATGTCCATTGGCTGGTATAAGTTAATCTCCATACATCTGCATAAATATCAGATTTACGTGACCACCATTGCCACCATTTGTTGAGAGAGTTCCATGGGGATATGATGGTTGGAGATAAACACACTTGTTGGGTTGTATACACTTATATTAGCAAAGTTGTGAGGGGAGCCCAGCCTTGCCTGTTGTAACCTGTAGGTCTATCTGTAAACTGAGAGAGGGACAGGGTGACTCCCGCCCACAAGAAGCACTGTGTGACATCACATGTTAGCCGCTAAGTTTAGCAAGGGGTCATCTATATAATACATATGGATGGTACTATGTACTTGGCTATGCTACACAACATATACAAGGGATCAGCAACTATGCTGACTGTGAGGGAAAAGTGGGTGTAAGTGGGGTAAGGGTTGTTCAGGCAACCAGGAGCCATTAGCGAATTACGTCGCACCCCCCCCCCCTCTAGCGGGCTGGGGCGAAACTCTAATTCCTGGTTCTGATTTGTTTCAATTTCTACTCCTGGTAGTATTGACCATACCTGGTTTGGGTTGAAGTTTGGAGAGTCATTTCACCTCCACTCTTCCCCTGATCAGGTAAGGTGGTCTACCAGGAGTATTATTGTTCGTGCTTTCTTTTGTTTGCTGGTTACCAGTAATGATTTTGGCATTTACCACTCCTTTTCATTCTTAAATGTTATATTATCATAACCATTGGTAACCAGTTTATTTTTTTTTATTACCAGCTCTGTTCCTGGCGTGGTCATCCAGGATAGACGCCAGATAAAGGAGCAAGACATATGTTAATTGGACTTATTAACATTATTCGATTACTACCGGCCAAGTGGTAGAGGAGATTCCAGAACATAGGTCTGTTACCATCCGCCCAGGATAACCTACATTTTTAACATCAGAGATCTGTCCAGGGCCTTACCTACTCCTGCCCAGCTACAGCACCAGAACCAGAGGCCATTTTTATTATATTTAAATTTTAAGTAAAATCCTCAAGTCATTATTCTTATTTTTCCTAGAGTGGTTTCTTTATATATTTTTTTCCATTAGTTTTTTGTTCAGATGGAAGGCGTTCCACTGACACTGACATCTGTGTTCTAATCTCTCATTGCTTCCACCTATCAGTGTTCTCATTTCTCAGTGGTTCCATCTTGAAATTCACCTTAAAAAGCTTTGGAAAAGTTTGTCTGCAGATGTGTATTTTTCGCTACCATTTGTTAACTTTGTGGCATTTGTGTCCTCGTTACAAACATTGTGGTTCGCTTAGTCTTCATTATGACACACCTGAACTGTTGTTTAAAAGTTGTATTTCAGTCTATCTGATGTCATTCTGCCAACTTTCACATCTAGTTATTAGCAGTATTACTCGCACAATAGTAGGAACATGATTGCAAGCAAATCAGGGAATGGGTGGGGCTTCTAAAGCTCGCACACCAGTGCGTTAACCACTGGAGTCATTCAACTGGATATATTTCTCTATGCCATAGGAGGTTAGCATGGGCCACTACTGTGACCATAAATACAGGCCCAGTGGTTAATGCACTGGCCTGTGAGGTTTAGGATGCACTCACAATGTGTTCAAACCTCGCCCATTCCACAATTTCTTAAAATATTATCACTACAGGCCGCTAACTCCCAAGGTACAAACTTCTAGTTCAAATTGCAGCCAAACAAACAACGTAATTGTGAGATATTCTCTCAACGATCTCAAAGATTGATGTCCATTATTTTTTTCTTAAGTGTTAACAGAAGCAAAGAGTACAGGTCGAAAGTTTACCTGACTTCCCAGCGGCCAGTCTCAGTACATGTCCAGGAGATGTAACCGGAGACCAGGCACTCAAGTTGAGAAGTATTACCGAGGACACCATCGTCAAGATAGTCTTGAACAGGCCAGTCATTTTGGTCGGTAGTGTAATGGACGCCCCGAGGACATTTCACACATTGATCTGGACACCTTGTACACTGAGCTCTCTTATCTGCAAAGTTAGAAATATGCATATTTCTAATTGGTTTGTCTGGAAAACCAGGAAATCCAGTCAGACCAATTATTAGCTCCATAGGATCAGTTTCATTTAAATTATCCAAAATGGCTTGCCGACATTTTGAGCCCTATTGTTAGTGAAGCTTTTAATTTTAATGTTAACAACATAGATTTAGTTCATAAATTAAGCTCCTTGACTGACTTAAATGATTTTAACATGGTTAGTTTTGATGTTACTTCCTTGTTTACGAAAGTTCCTGTTGATGATTTATTAAGTTTCTTATCTGACGAACTCGTTAACTATGATTTACCATTGCCAGTTCCTACTATCATTAAACTTATTAAACTTTGCATTGTTGATGCAAAATTTGTATTTAATGATAAATTTTACACTCAGAAGTTTGGTATGGCAATGGGAAATCCTCTTTCACCTGTTCTTAGTAACCTTCATTTTCTCCTCCTGCTTTCTTTCCTCCTAAGTTTCCCCTTTAGCTTCGTCTAGCCCATAGATAAACACTGATCTCCCCCTTTCCACCTCCCACTGTGACTCCCATTGCATCCTCTGATGTGTTTTAGTTCCTTCCCGTGGAGTGTTCCTTCCTTCAGTCCCTTCCCTAGCTATGGCCCCTATGCTCCTTGGTTTCTCCTTCCTGCTCACCTGTTCATGGCCCCCACAGGTGTCTGGTAAGGTCCCTGCACATGTCCTAGTTCCTTCAATGTCTTCCAACCTCACATTTTGTCCTACTGTGCTCCCTGTCTTCGTTTTGGCCCCATGTGGGTTTGGCAGGACCTCTGCATACAGTTTAGTTTCCATGTTCCCTTCAGACCTGTTGTCTGTGTCTGATGTAGCCATTGCCGATGCTACTCCTGTTATATCTTTGTCTTTATTCTGTTTCAGATGTCTCAGCTCCTCTTCTAATCTCTTTATCTTGTTTTCTGCTGTTATGGCATGTTGCTTCCACCTCCTGCTTCTAACCTCTCTTCCATCTTCCTTGCCAGCTCTTCTAGTCTCCTTCCCCAGTCTTCCTCCCTTTTTTTGAGCTCTGCTTCCCAGTACTCCCCCCCAGATTCGTCCTTCGAGCCCCTTGTTCTCATCCTAGTTCTAGGTTCCCCCGTTGCTCCACAGAAGGAAGGGGGAGGGGTGGTTAGGGCAGAGGGGAATAGATGGTTGGGGGAGAGGGGATGGATGTTATGCAGAGGGGGAGGATGGTTATTGGAGGGGGAGAGGTAGTTGGGGAGGGGGTTAGATGGTTTGGGGGAGGGGTTAGATGGTTTGGTGGAGGGTAGGTGGCTAGGGTGAGGTGGTTAGGGAAGGGGGAGAGGTGGTTAGGGGAAGGGGAGTACGTGCTTGAGAGAGAGAGGGGATGGATGGTTATAGGGGAGGGGGAGGGTGGTTATTGGAGGGGGGAGGTAGTTAGGTGGAGGGGGTTAGATGGTATGGGGGAGGGGTTAGATGGTTTGGGGAGGGGTAGGTGGCTAAGGTGAGGTGGTTAGGGAAGGGCGAGAGGTGGTTAGGGGAGGGGGGTACGTGTTTGTGTCAAGTGTATATGTGCTTGTGTATGTGTGTGTGTGTGCATGCGTGTGTGTGTGTGTGTGTGTGTGTGTGTGTGTGTGTGTGTGTGTGTGTGTGTGTGTGTGTGTGTGTGTGTGTGTGTATTCGCCTAGTTAGTTACCATATTGTCCTAGTGCAGGTGTGTGTGTGTGTGTGTGTGTGTGTACTCACCTATTTACTCACTCATCTATTTGTGGTTGCAGGGGTCGAGTCATAGCTCCTGGCCCCGCCTCTTCACTGATTGCTACTAGGTCCTCTCTCTCCCTGCTCCATGAGCTTTATCATACCTCGCCTTAAAACTATGTATGGTTCCTGCCTCCACTACTTCACTTTCTAGACTATTCCACGACTTGACTACTCTATGACTGAAGAAATACTTCCTAACATCCCTTTGATTCATCTGAGTCTTCAACTTCCAATTGTGACCTCTTGTGTATGTGTCCCATCTCTGGAACATCCTGTCTTTGTCCACCGTGTCTATTCTGCGCAGTATTTTATATGTCGTTATCATGTCTCCCCTGACCCTCCTGGCCTCCAGTGTCGTCAGGCCGATTTCCCTCAACCTTTCTTCGTACGACAATCCCCGTAGCTCTGGGACTAGTCTTGTTGCAAACCTTTGCACTTTCTCTAATTTCTTGACGTGCTTGACTAGGTGTGGTTTCCAAACTGGTGCTGCATACTCCAGTATGGGCCTGACGTAAATGGTATACAGTGTCTTGAACGACTCCTTATTGAGGTATCGGAACGCTATCCGTAGGTTTGCCAGGCGCCCGTATGCTGCAGCAGTTATCTGATTTATGTGCGCCTCAGGAGATATGCTCGGTGTTATACTCACCCCCAGATCTTTTTCCTTGAGTGAGGTTTGCAGTCTTTGGCCATCTAAACTATATTGTGTCTGCGGTCTTCTTTGCCCTTCCCCAATCTTCATGACTTTGCATTTGGCAGGGTTAAACTCAAGGAGCCAGTTTCTGGACCAGGCTTGTAGCCTGTCCAGGTCTCTTTGTAGTCCTGCCTGATCCTCATCCGATTTGATTCTTCTCATTAACTTCACATCATCTGCAAACAAGGACACTTCTGAGTCTATCCCTTCCATTATGTCGTTCACATATACCAAGAACAGCACAGGTCCTAGGACTGACCCCTGTGGAACCCCGCTTGTCACAAGCGCCCACTCTGACACCTCGTCACGTACCATGACTCGTTGTTGCCTCCCTGTCAGGTATTCTCTGATCCATTGCAGTGCCTTTCCTGTTATGTGTGCCTGATCTTCTAGCTTTTTCAGTAACCTCTTGTGAGGAACTGTGTCGAAGGCCTTTTTGCAGTCCAAAAAAATGCAGTCGATCCACCCCTCTCTCTCTTGTCTTACTTCTGTCACCTTGTCATAAAACTCTAGTAGGTTTGTGACACAGGATTTTCCTTCCCTGAAACCATGCTGGTTGTCAATTATACACTTGTTTCTTTCCAGGTGCTCCACCACTCTCCTCCTGATGATCTTCTCCATGACCTTGCATACTATACACGTTAGTGATACAGGTCTGTAGTTTAGTGCCTCATGTCTGTCTCCCTTTTTAAAAATTGGGACTACATTTGCCATCTTCCATACCTCAGGGAGTTGCCCAGTTTCAAATGATGTGTATGTGTGTATATGTGTGTGTTCGTGTGTGTGGGGGAGGTATGAAGTGGAGATACTGCTAATACATACCAGTAATTTTGGTTTATAAAATGCGGAACTTGATACTAGGGTCTAAAGCTTCTATGAGTGTCTACCCTTGTGTGTGTGTGTGTGTGTGTGTGTGAGGGAGGGATGGTTAGTGGGGGGTAGGTGGTGTGGTTGAAAGATCCTTTATACCTCTCTGTCGTGTAGGCTCAAATTTAGTCTCAGCTATCTTTCCAAGTAGTGCTACTCTCTCCACTTATTGCCCTTTCTGGATTTAAGTATCAATTATTGCTGGTTATTATCCTATTCCTTGTTCACATTGAGAGAGGACTTCCTAGCTTCCTAAGTATTCTTACTGCTAATAAGTACCGGTAGAAACACTGGCTCACCCCTACGTTACCCCTCGCTAGTCTGCTGTCCTCCTCACACTCTCCTCAACACTATCTTCACTTTAACTATGCTATTTCTACACTAATTCTGGTAATAGCTTGCAGGAGTGGGTGACCAGTATGTAACAGTGATGCAAGGCCAGACGCCAGGATGCAACATGCAAATCACAATAGGCGAGTGAGTACTTGCTCTGCACGGTGCGGTGACAAGTTGCCAGATGCTGATGACGTAGTCATCGTACTTAGGCCTTCTTTCACTATTTTGGAGATCCTTCATCCGTGATGTTTATAACCATATATGCTCATACATCCCGCGTTCATCACATGATATCACTTTTCACTTATAATATACACTTCACTTTATATGTAGTGTATGTGCGTATGTAATACAGCTTTTACAAGTGCCTGACCGCTTGTTCCTGTGTGTGTGTGAGTGTGTGTGTGTGTGTGTGTGTGTGTGTGTGTGTGTGTGTGTGTGTGTGTGTGTGTGTGTGTGTGTGTGTGTGTGTGTGTGTGTGTTTATGTAAGCGAGTCCTTATTACCCACGTATGTACTACATACGTACTCGATCGCTTGGTTCCCACTGTGCACTGTTTTGTGTGTTTAAGATTACATTCAATTCTGTAACACTAGACCTCACCTTCTGTACTCATCTATTTGTACTCACCTATTTGTGGTTGGAGGGGTCGATTCATAACTCCTGGCCCCACCTCTTCGCTGATTGCTACTAGGTCCTCTCTCTCCCTGCCCCATTAGCTTTATCATACCTAGCCTTAAAACTATGTATGGTTCCCGTCTCCACTACGTCACTTTCTAGGCTATTCCACGGCCTGACTACTCTATGACTGAAGAAATACTTCCTAACATCCCTTTGATTCATCTGAGTCTTCAACTTCCAATTGTGACCTCTTGTGTCTGTGTCCCATCTCTGGAACATTCCGTCTTCGTCCACCTTGTCTATTCCGTGCAGTATTTTATATGCCATTATCATGTCTCCCCTGACCCTCCTGTCCTCCAGTGTCGTCAGGCCGATTTCACTCAACCTTTCTTCATAGGACAATCCCCGTAGCTCTGGGACTAGTCTTGTTGCAAACCTTTGCACTTTCTCTAATTTCTTGACGTGCTTGACCAGGTGTGGATTCCAAACTGGTGCTGCATACTCCAGTATGGGCCTGACGTAAATGGTATACAGAGTCTTGAACGAATCCTTACTGAGGTATCGGAACGCTATCCATAGGTTTGCCAGGCGCCCGTATGCTGCAGCAGTTATCTGATTGATGTGCGCCTCAGGAGATATGCTCGGTGTTATACTCACCCCCAAATCTTTTTCCTTGATTGAGGTTTGCAGTCTTTGGCCATCTAAACTATATTGTGTCTGCGGTCTTCTTTGCCCTTCCCCAATCTTCACGACTTTGCATTTGGCAGGGTTGAACTCAAGGAGCTAGTTGCTGGACCAGGCTTGTAGCCTGTCCAGGTCTCTTTGTAGTCCTGCCTGATCCTCATCCGATTTGATTCTTCTCATTAACTTCACATCATCTGCAAACAAGGACACTTCTGAGTCTATCCCTTCCATTATGTCATTCACATAATCCAAGAACAGCACAGGTCCTAGGACTGACCCCTGTGGAGCCCCGCTTGTCACAGGCGCCTACTCTGACACCTCGTCACGTACCATGACTCGTTGTTGCCTCCCTGTCAGGTATTCTCTGATCCATTGCAGTGCCTTTCCCGTTATGTGTGCCTGATCGTCTAGCTTTTGCAGTAACCTCTTGTGAGGAACTGTGTCAAAGGCCTTCTTGCAGTCCAAACAAATGCAGTCGATCCACCCTTCTCTCTCTTATCTTACTTCTGTCACCTTGTCATAAAACTCTAGTAGGTTTGTGACACAGGATTTTCCTTCCCTGAAACTGTGCTGGTTGTCAATTATGCACTTGATTCTTTCCAGGTGCTCCACCACTCTCCTACTGATGATCTCCATGACCTTGCATACTATACACGTTAGTGATACAGGTCTGTAGTTTAGTGCCTCATGTCTGTCTCCCTTTTTAAAAATTGGGACTACATTTGCCATCTTCCTTACCTCGGGGAGTTGCCCAGTTTCAAATGATGTGTTGAAGATCTTTGTTAATGGCACACACAAAATCTCTGCTCCCTCTTTAAGGACCCATGGAAAGATGTCTGGTCCATCCGGCTTTGAGGTGTCAAGTTCGCATAGCAGCTTCTTCACCTCCTACTTGGTTATATGTACCTCATCCAGCCCTTGCTGGTGTAACCCCCTCTTCTGATTTCCTGGAGTCCTACTGGTTTCCACTGTAAATACTTCTTTAAATCTCTTGTTGAGCTCCTGACATACCTCTCGGTCGTTTCTTTTGAATTCCCCATCACCCTTCCTCAGTCTGATTACCTGGTCCTTGACTGTTGTTTTCCTCCTGACGTGGCTGTACAACAGCTTCGGGTCAGTCTTGACTTTCGATGCTATGTCATTTTCATATTGTCGCTGAGCCTCCCTTCTTATCTGTGCATATTCGTTTCTGGCTCTTCGGCTAATCTCTTTATTTTCCTGAGTTCTCTGTCTTCTGTACCTTTTCCATTCTGTAGTACACCTAGTTTTTGCCTCCCTACACCTTTGGGTGAACCAAGGACTCGATCTGTTCTTCCCATTATTTCTGTTTCCCTTGGGAACAAACCTCTCCTCTGCCTCCTTGCATTCTGTTGCCACATAGTCCATCATTTCTTGTACTGGTTTTCCTGTCAGTTCCCTCTCTCACTGAATGTCTTGAAGGAAGTTCCTCATGCCTGAGTAGTTCCCTCTTTTGTAGTTTGGTTTTTCCCACCCTATTCCTGCTACTCTCTCCACTTGGAGCTCAACTATGTAGTCGAAGCACAGAACCTCATGATCACTAGCTCCCAGGAGCCTTTCATACATGATATCCTCGATGTCCGAACTACTCAAGGTGAGTACAAGGTCCAGTCTTGCTCGTTCATCCTTTCCTCTCTCTCTGGTAGTGTCTCTAACATGTTGATGCAAAAGGTTTTCCAGTACCATATCCATCATCTTGGCACTCCATATTTTGGGACCCCCATGGGGCTCCAGGTTTTCCCAGTCAATCTCCTTGTGATTGAAATCACCCATAACTAATAACTTTGCTCCCCCCATGTGAGCTCTTCTGGCCACCTCGGCTAGTGTGTCGACCATTGCTCTGTTTCTCTCATTGTATTCTTCTCTTGGCCTCCTGCAGTTCTGTGGTGGGTTGTACATTACTGCAATTATCACCTTATGTCCCTCAGACTGGATTGTTCCTACTAAGTAGTCCCTTTCGTCAGTGCCATCCATTCCTTCCATTTTCTCATAATCCCACTGGTTTTTAATGAGCAGTGCAACTCCTCCTCCCCCTCTCCTCCCTCTGTCTTTCCTGAGGATTTGATATCCAGATGGAAAGATTGAATCTGTTATTATTCTGGTGAGTTTTGTTTCTGTGAGTGCTATTATGTTTGGGGATGTCTCCTTGATTCTTTCTTTCCATCTGCATTTGTATACCACACCTTCAACTTCTTTTCTAAGACTGTGGTCTGGGAGGTATATTGGGGTTGGGGAAGTGGGAGACCTGATAAGGAACTATGGGTGGTTGCTGTGGGGGTGGAGTTTATAATGCAGTGGGTGGGGGCATTGGATGTGGCATGGGTGTTTTGATTTAGAGTGTTTGGTTGCACTGGGGTTGACCTGGTTGGGGGGCTTCTATAGGAAGTTGTGACGGAGGCTGTATTTGATCTTCTTCCTGGGTCTGGGATCTCCTGTCTGTCTTCTCCATCCCCTGTCTTTCCTCCTTTCGTCTTTGTACCATCTCTCAGTTTCTGCCTTTCTTCTTGTGTTCTGTCGCGGTCGAGACACACCTTCCTCTATATCGGCATGTCCCTTAATCGTGCTTTCTCCTGCAGGACCCTGTTCCAAGTCGATTCTGCCTTGAAGGTCACTTTCAGTGGCCGGGTTCTTTTTTTTATGAACCCCCCTATTCTCCGAAAATTTTCCAGCTGGGTCATGTCGTCTTCTCCTCTTGCTTTCATGATGCTTTCAATTGCTTTTTTTCCCTTGTTTTCTTGCTTCATATGTTTCCCCTTCAACTTCCTGGAGCCCATACACAAAGACTGACCTCACTCTTTCATTCTCCCACTGCATATCCCTGTGTATCCCCTCATTCAATTTGATTTCCTCCATTGCAGCTTTCCTTTCTTCAGTTTCACTAGCTAATGTACTTGGGCTCAGTGGCCTGTCATTTTCCCTTCTCGGCTTTGCCTGGGCTCTGCTGTGGTCTGTTAGGGCCTCCACATATAGCTTAGCTCTTTCATTTACTACAGTCTCCTCTGATAGAGCTTCTACATGCAGTTTTGCTCCTTTCCCTACAGTCCCCTTATTTGTGACTGAGGTAGCAGTCTCTGATGTCAATCCCAAAATGTTCTTTAGTTCTTTAGGCTGTTTCAGATTTTTCAGTTCCTCTTCTAAACTCTGTATCCTAGCCTCTGCTACTTTGACTTGCACCTCCCACTTCCTGCTTTCCATATCTATCCTCTCTTCCATTCTCATGCTAAGTTCTTCTAGTTTCTTTTCCCATTCATGTTCCCTTTTTATGAGCTCTGCTGCCCAGTCTTCCTTTGCAGCTTCCTCCTCCTGTGTGTGTGTGTGTGTGTGTGTGTGTGTGTGTGTGTGTGTGTGTGTGTGTGTGTGTGTGTGTGTTTGTATGTGTGTATGCATAATGTGTACATGTTTATGTACATACAGGTAAAAAGCATGAAACTTTTTGTAATCTTAACTCTTTTCTCAGAATTTTCGAGATTCCTAACAAGCTTTACCAGCTGTCATACCCTGAATTATCATAGTTAGCGCCATCTGTTGGGCTGATAAATAGTTACAGGTGTCTCCTTCATCTCCTGATCAAGGTTATGGTGTTATTTCCTGGTACCATTAGCTTTACCTCATAAATTTGTAAAAGTGTTTCTCTCATTCTCAATGGTATATCAAGCTTTTTACTCTCTTTTTGTTGTCTAACAATGTCCTTATTCCTGAATTTCCACCAAACATATTTGTAAGTACAAACTTGGTCACTTTCTGTTATATTTCTTTATAGAATTATTTTCAGAAATTTGTGTTGTGAATTTTACGTGGAGACCTGAAGTATTCCTGGAGAGGATTTCGGTTGTCAACGCCCTCGCGGCCCGGTCTGTGACCAGGCCACGTGGTGAATCAGCGCCTGTTCATAGAGGGTGTTATTGCTGGCCGTGCATAAACCGACGTACGAACCACAGCCTGGCTGGTCAAGTGACTATAAGTGCCTGTCCAGTGCCTTCTTATAATTTTCCCTTATGTATGCTAGAAGGTAGTTGAACAATCTTTGGCCACTGACACTTATTGTGTTGTCTCAGTGTAATCATGACGCCACTGCTTTTTGTTGAAGAGAGATGTTGTACCGCCTGCCGAGTCTTTTGCTTTCGTAGGAGTGATTTTCGCGTGCAAATTTAGTCCTAATCCCTCTAGGATTTTCCAAGTGTATATTATCATGTATCTTTCTCGCCTCAGTTCTAGGGAATACAAGTCAAGGAACTTCAACTGTTCCTTCAACCTTTCACTTCTTTTCCACCAATTATTTACCTCGCCTTCAGGCCTCTCCTACCCATCTCTCTCCCACTCATTCATTTTCCTAACAGCTTAAGAATATTCAATGCCACCTCCAGAGGCTTGCTATACCGCTGCCAAAGCTATATGGTATCACTGATCATTCATCCCGCTATTTGGGTGTAATTGTCATGTTCTGTTCCATAACTACTGTAATGTTTGTGGTACAGTTACCCCCATTGTTCTTACTGCACATGACTTTCCTTGTAACATTAATTGTAAGAGTTTGATTTTTGTTGGTGCCTTTATATTTTGGCTCCTTATTAGTGCTTGTTTTCCAAATCCAGTCACCATCTTTATACTCAACTCACATATCTTTTATTACTCTCAATATTTTTTTTGTGATTTCTCTCAAGAAGTGATTAGGGAAAGAAAGAAAAGAGTGGCAAGGTAGAGCAGAATATGGAAGGCTGATAGAAATTAGGAGTTAATATTGTGAAGAGGAGAGTACGGATGGAGTTCGTGAATGAGGTACCCAGGTGGTAACAGATGGTTGGAGAGTTGTGTGAGACGTAATCTGAATGTCCGTAATGGATGGCGAGTGAGGAGAGTCGTGAAGGAAGAAGTGGGAGCATTGAAGAGTTTATTCTTAGGAGAAATTCAGAGAAAGAGGAAGATAGTAATATTACGTCTTTATCGTCTTTTTATAAGCCTTGATGGAATAAGAGTGAAAGTTACAAAGGGTATCACAAAGTATCTGACTAACCTTCAATGTCAGCTGCGATCTGTGTGAATCCCAGAGTTCTGGCCACCTGCGCTGCGGTCAGTCCTGTGACAAACAAAACATTATTTACATGCACATACAAGCAATCATTGTATACATGCACATACAAGCGATCATTGTATACATGCACATACAAGCGATCATTGTATACATGCACATACAAACAATCATTGCGTACATGCGTATACAAGCAATCATTACATACATGTACATACAAGCAACCACTGTATACATGCACATACAAGCAATCATTGCATACAGACACATACAAGCAATCATTGTACACATGCACATACAAGCAATCACTGTACACATGCACATACAAGCAATCATTGTTTACATGAACATATAGCAATTGTATACATGCACATACAAGTAGTCATTGTATACATGCATATACAAGCAGTCATTGTACACATGCACATACAAGCAACCACTGTATATGTAGACAGCCTGTACTGTCTGCACAGACAGCCTATGCTGTCTGCCAGCAGCACTAAGGTGCTGCCCTCTAGGCCAGCCCAAAGTCAGTGGGACGCTGGTTCCACACGCCCTCACTCAGTGGCCTAGCAGCAGTCAAGAAGGCCTGCTAGCTCTCTCCCTCGTGGGCATGGCCCTACCAGGCCATGGGCACAAACACACAAGCCTGTGTACCCACCACGACTTTGCAAATAAACTAAGAAGCCTCCGAAGACGTCTATCATTGACTCCACGCCACTGCATCTAACCAAATAATCTCATTAAACATTGGTGGGAAGCGGTGGTTGCAGCAGTTGTGTTTGCCTGGAGAGAGGAAGGAAGAGGGATGAAGTCATCTTCACTTTATCACCTTATACAAGAAGCATCCATCTCTCAACGAGTTATCCTGATGTCGTGTCTGCACGTTTCAGCATCCAGACACAGGCACAAGCAGGATTTAGCCGAAATTTGCCGAACTTTCTCGAGAACTGTAAGTGGCGTCCCAGTGGCCCCATGCTACAGCGTCCCACGCTGTTTCTCAAGTCACGTGTTCAGCGTCACTTGTATGTTCTGCTGTTGTTCAGCTCAGCACAGCTATTTCAGCAAGCCAGAGGTGAATTTTGTGGTGATTTCTGCGTCCAGTGTGAGTTTCTCCACATATTTGTGGGTAGAAGAGGAGGAAGTGGCTGTTCCTTGCCTCGCCCACGCTCGCCCTGCTGTACACTCACACCTCACCCGCCTACCACCACTATGTGCCCACTCCCTCTGCTGTGTTTTTCTGCTGTTTTTCGTGTGAATTCACTGCCAGTGCTGTGTATCTGAGTGCCCGAGGCCACTCTAAGCCACATGGATCACTATGCCACATGGATCAGCATGCCACATAGATCACCAAGCCATGTGGATCAGCAAGCCATGTGGATCACCAAGCCACGTGGATCACCAAGCCATGTAGACCTGCAAACCATGTGGATCAGCATACTATGTGGATCAGCAAGCCACGTGGGTCAGCAAGCCATGTGGATCAGCATGCCATGTAGATCACGATGCCACGTGGATCCCGAAGCCACTTGGGGTGTGGACGACGCCATGTGGACCTACGAGCCACGTGAGTTGCCAGATGTCCCAGGCCATATGCTGTGGTCTGCTGCCCGCATCACACTGACGTCACCGACGATGCTGCCCGACTTCAAGACATCACGATGTCTGCCTGACGTCACCTCGAGATGTCTGTTGACGTCACAATGCTGCTGACGCCACCTCGCGACGTCACACCTGACATCACATGATGTCACATCGAGTGTTTCAGTAATTGTCAGTATCGTCAAGAAGATTGAGAGAAGATATATGTCGTGTGTTAATTAATTCCTCTCAGTCAGTGTTCTCACATGTTAGTGTATAGCTTAGCATCAATTTTGTGCACAGAAAAGTATCATTTGCTAGTCTAAGCCATGTTGTATCACATGTGCCGCGGGTGTGTGTAAAGTTTTCTGTGTGTCCAGTGTGGTCTGCTGCCAGACCCCTGAGTAGCACCACTGTGTTAGTCACCCAGTGTGACAGCACATTTGACAGCTGATATTAGTCAGCCTGAGCATATGAGCCCCTTTGTACAGAAAGCTCTTGTGCTTGTCACTCATAGATGTTCTGTAGAATTGTACCTGCTACTATTCCCATCGAGATTTGTTTTGCTTCACCTCCAGACCTTCAGAGTGCAGTTATATGTAGAGAAACAAGTCTGGGGACGCTTAGACTAACCTCTGCTATAACTCCAACTGCCGAGAGAATGACACTCGTCAAGCCACAGTTAGCCCTGTCGGCAGATGCTGTTTCAGCCTCATGTCATAGCTTCAGTGAGCTCCTGCACAAGATGATGTCACTTTGACTGCTAGCTTGCTCACTGCAGTCTGGTGTATGATGTTACAACTCCCAGATGTTTCACCCAGTCGTCTCTGTCACGACTCGCTCCACGACACACTCCATGCTCGCTGGCAGTGATAGCCCAGCGACAGTACCAGTCGAGAAGTGTCCTGAGTCGCTTGCCAGAAGTCCTGCCCAGTTGCTGAATTTTGTCGACGCCTCACTCGAGGGCACCAGCATGTCGTGCCCCAGGTTGAGTGAAACCTGCAGTGACTCTTACGATGACTGCTTCATCGTTCTAGAGGAGACCGTACCCTGTTACGTCACAGCTCAGCCGCAGCGATGTCTCCTGTGTTGCAGTATCTGTCCAGACGCAGGAAGGCGTGCAGTGTTGCCCTTTGATGCTCACTGCCTTTGACCACAATGCTTAACACACACCACATGTTTTTTTCTTCCCTCCCTATAGGAAGTATTTTTTTTCATGTCCATATGTATATATATGTTTTTTATTTTGTGTTCTGTGCCCTGTTCCTAGTTCTGTGCCCAGTTCCTACGAAAGAGAGACCGAGTTTTTTTTACCGCCAGACATGGTCAGGACAACCATGTGGTAGGTGGCCGATCATATGTAGACAGCCTGTACTATCTGCACAGAGCCTATGCTGTCTGCCAGCTTAGTTCATATTCCGCGGCACTAAGGTGCTGCCCTCTAGGCCAGCCCAAAGTCAGTGGGATGCTGGTTCCACACGCCCTCACTCACTCAGCAGCCTAGTAGCAGTCAAGAAGGCCTACTAGCTCTCTCCCTCGTGGGAATGGCCCTACCGGGCCATGAGCACAAACACACAAGCCTGTGTACCCATCACGACTTTGCAAATAAAGTAAGAAGCCTCCGAAGACGTTTATCATTGAACCCGCCCCGCTGCAGCATCACCAAATAAGCTCAATAAACATATACATGCACATACAAGCAATCTTTGTAAATATGCACATGCAAGCAATCATTGTATACATGAGCATACAAGCAATCATTGTATACATGTACATACAAGCAATCATTGTATATATGCACATACAAGCAATCATTGTATACATTCACATACAATCAATGTATACATGCACAAACAAGCAATCATTTATACATGCACATACAAGCAATCATTGTATACATGCACATACAAGCAATCATTGTATACATGCACATACAAGCAATCATAGTATACATATACATACAAGCAATCACTGTATACATGCACATACAATCACTGTATACATGCACATATAAGCAATTATTGTATATATGCACATACAAACAATCATTGTTTACATGAACATATAGCGATTGTATAGAAGCACATACAAGCAAACATTGTATATATGCACATACAAGCAATCATTGTATACATGAACATACAAGCAATCATTGTATACATGCACATACAAGCAATCATTATATACATGCACATACAAGCAATCATTGTATATATGCAGATACAAAAATTATTGTATACATGAACATACAAGCAATAATTGTATACACGCACATGCAAGCAATCATTGTATACATGAACATACAAGCAATCATTATATACATGCACATACAAACAATCACTGTATACATGCACATTCAAGCAATCATTGTATATATGCACATACAAGCAATTATTGTATACATGCACATACAATTACTGTATACATGCACATACAAACAATTATTGTATACATGCACATCCAAGCAATCATTGTATACATGCACATACAAACAATCACTGTATACATACATATACAAGCAATCACTGTATACATGCACATACAAGCAATCATTGTATACATGCACATACAAGGAATCATAGTATACATGCACATACAAGCAATCATTGTATACATGCATATACAAACAATCACTGTATACATGCATGTTGCGACCCTCTGAATTGGTCACAATGTATATAATGTATATTACCTGCTCATGTAATTTTGTATTGGTTGTATTTGCAATATTAGCTAAATCGTAAATATATTGTTTTATATTATTAGTTGACTTAGTTATATTATTAGGGAGGATGTGACATTTATATTTTATTCAGTGTTCATAGTTCGAGAGTGTTAAATAGCTGAAAACATTGTCTAACTACAGCAGTCCATGGAGAGTCACGTCACCAGGGAGGGGTGATCACACCTCACCTGGGAGAGAGACCGCCTTGCTTTCGCTCGCCGTCTTGTCTGTTTCACGTTGCTTCCAACAAGACGTGCCTCTCCAGCTCTCTCCTGCTGGCCCTTGTTGGAAGATCGTCTCTGTTGCTTTCTTGTTGTTGGTTCAGTGTAACTCTGTTCACAGAACATAGCCTTGACTTAGTGATTTTCAACGTTGTACTGAGGTTGTGTGTCTCATAGACACTCTGAGAATCTCAGGTTCTGAGCTGTAGCTTCTGACCTAATTTGTACTGGTATCTGTGTACTGACACAGTCGGGAATTTTCTAATGCTGAACTTAGATTCAGTAGTATGGGAGTTTTGTGACTTTTGTGGAGGATCTGCAGATTGTCCCTACTTAGTGTTGTTATATTATCTCCTTGTTCCTGATTATGTGTCCCTGTTGCTTGTCATATTGCTGTTCGGCTTATCAGTAGTTTTATTGTTCAAGCAAGCTGTTCTGATTGCCAGGTTGGTCGAGAAGTTAGTTTATGTGAGGACTTTTAGTCAGTCACTGGTTAAGTCCAGTCGAGTCTTGAGACATAG